CAACTCGTGCAGCATATGCCCACACCAAGATATTCTGATATGAAAGTAGTGAGTTTGGTCAGGGCATTTCAATGATAAAACTTGAATGAGAAACACCATGCAAGGCCATGAAAATTAATAAATCTCCTTCAGTGTATCAACTATGGACAATTCTGTATTTATATAAGCCGTCCCAAGATGGGTTTCTTACGAGTTCCACAAGATTTTTTGCTAAAAGAAACAGCAATCAACGAATCAACATAATTCGATCATTCTGTTGCTTAAGATAAAATCCACATTCGATGATGAAAAATGCACAAAATAAGAGAAAATTCAGTAAGATACCTCATGAAAACGTCACGTCGTAAGTTGAATCCTTCACCGTGGTTCACATCATACAACAAATACCTTCGTTCGTCTGAACTTGTCATCGGATCTCGGCTCGATACAAGCACATCTTCGCCCAAACAACTAACCAGAATCCACGTTAACACAATAATGGCACCATGAAAATACCTCACCGATGCTCGCCTGACCAGCATGGCTGCAAAAGGATGACAAGTTACCATGACGGTGAACTGGATTTTACACTATTGGATCAGCATCCACGCTTCAAAGAATTATCACAAACTGAAGACGAAGCGATATACTCCACATTAAATCTGGATAAAAAATTAAAACATTGTTTTCGTTAAAATTTTAAAAAACTGAACGTTTCCATGGAAATAATTCACATACCACATCAAAGCTGAAAGCAAAAAAAAATGAATAGGAAGTAAGCCGGCTTAATCGCTCGTGTGTGCTGTTGCTTGCTAACGGAAGGAAATGTAGGAGGATCTGCCGTAGATCCAGTGGCAGAACGACCAACTGACCGCCAAATGAACTTCCGAGCGATGTGTGAAATGAAAATTTATGTGTAATTCAGTTTTCTGAGAGTTCAACAAATTGCTGTTTATTTCACTTTGATGCATGAGTATCCTCACGTATTATTCATAAACGATCTGCTGCATCTCCGCAGCCGTCCCTATTAATCGTATTTCACGAATAAAACCAATGGTGGGGAATTTATTTTTTTGATTTTTTTGCGCAATCTGTTTATCGAGATTAACTTAAGTAAGTCAATGTTGTTTTTGAAGGATCGTCATTCAACAACTTCATCGAATCCTCGTTTACGTGAGTTTGGTCCGTGGACTGAACAGTACAGTTCCTCAGGGAAACGCTACTTTTACAATCGCGAAACTGAGGTCTCACAATGGGAAAAACCGGTGGAATGGCGTGAATACGAGAAATCACTGGCTGACAATACGACAAGTCATAGTCCAATATCATCATCTTGTAGGTTCAACTGCATCATCTCTTACTCCTATTGCTGATGAGCGAATACCCGTGAAAGAGGAACCCTTCCAAATCTCGCCAAATCATCTTATCTCATTATTTTGCCCTCATTATTATATGCACAACTTCGTA